CAATTCATATGCTCACAGTCTCATCAAAAAGTGCTTAAACTTGAGTCATAACACTGACAAGAAAATTGGTTTTACCTTACATAAAAATTATCTCTGAAATAATAACTAGAATATTAAGACCATTTCAAATAGATTTAGCACGCAAGGCAACGAGACAGCTAGCTAGCACAATCACGCCATTCGATATTGTGTAAACCGAAAGATCCAGCAGAAAAAAAGATAAAATTAACACCATTTACAAAATAAATTGCATGAATCAACTGCAACAAACATTACATCAGTGGTCAAAGTGGGCGTCCCCTTCGAATCCGAATCCAAGAACACAAACTGGCTGTAAAAAGACATCATGTATATATTCTTTCATATCAATGCATGTAGATAATTATGGACACCAATTTGATGATTGGGATAATGTAGAAATTTTAACTAGAGGAAACACTAAAAATGTCTCTAGGGAATTCCTAGAATCCTGTTACTCAAGTGAATCAGCCAGAGATTAACAAGAAACAATATTATAGTCCAAATTTACCACCAGCTAATAAAAAGTAAATCACATGACAAGAAAGTCCGAATTCAAAGCCAATGAAATTGAGCGACAAAGATGTAAATTAGCAAACAGTTGCGACAATGACTGTCAGGAGACACAATTACATCATCTATGGAGAATTAGAATCAGTTCTATCTATACTAAACCCTACGCTGAAGCGATGTTTCCTCGAAGGGGGACGTCGAAAGCTTCACAATTAAATCAACCATCTTCTGTGCATCAGATGCTCACCGACCATGCACAGAGTTCAATCCCCGGCCAACGCACACCTGATATCAGTGGTTAACCTGGTAAATTTGATCTACCGATATCACATGCTGAAAATTCCATACTTGTACCAAAAATACTTTGTGGGATCAAGCTATAATAAGGTAATTAAGTAAGTAATCAACTAAGTAATTAATTCAATGACACTTCTATTCCTTACATTCCATAATTTGATTCAGCGCAGTCATGTTTAAATATTTCAGATTCCATTGCAGTAACGAGGTATTTTAACTATTCATACTACCTATAATCAGCCTCTAAATAACCTACAACTGTTGTTATTGTTATCATGACTTGTATTCATTGTTTACATTATTTCATGGGCGGTGGGATGACGAGGGGGGGGTAGGGCGGCTAATTCCTTCAATTATCACATTTATATGTAAAACATATTTGGACATTTTCTGAAAAAGGGTAGCCATGCAAATTCTTTTTAACTTTTGCTTTAAGCGATGGCAATGCATATTATCAATGTATCCTAGTTGTTGGTAGAATTGATTTCCTTCTTGGTATTTTAAGTTCAAACAAAATTTAGTTGGATAAATAATGAATAGCGTTCATTCAGTTTACCTTCATGTTCATTGTACGTTTATATAGAACTAATATATATAGATATAGTAAGAAAAGCGAAAAAGTCATTTGTAATAAAAGACAATTCTGAGAAAAGAAATTTCTTTGATTGGTTGGAGGATTTCATCACCAGCTGACATCAGTTAGAGAATCATTGGAAAACCAGCCACAGGGAGTACTGTCAGACAACTGTTTCGTCAGCCTAGTTTGGGACTCTTCAACAGTGCGCACCCACCGACATCGGCTCGAACCCACGACCTTCTGGTCCCAAGGTAAGTGAGCCACTGAAAAACGATCCAATGGCCAATCCATGAATTCTAACTTCTGCCAATTCATGACATAGCACGACCACTTCGCAATGTTTTGTTCGATGAGTTACTGTCTCACCTTCAACCTGCTGTACCCTACTCTCCACGGCTTCCCCCTAGAACCCCAGGTTGACTGCCTGAATAGAGCCAGTAGCTAGTGAGCCTCAGATCAATTAGCAAGCATTGGTTTTGTAGGGATTTTTGTTTGATTGGTTGGTTGGTTCGAACCCTGTCGGTGGGTGTGTGCTTTTGATCAATCCCAAGCTAGGCTGACGAAACACCTGTCCAGTGCTCCCTGGTGGTTTTCCAATAGTTCCCTAATTGATGTCAGCTGATGATGAAATCCTCCAAACAATCAAATAAAAATCCCTATAGAACCAAAACTTCGAAATTTTCTTTTTAAAAGAAATCATCTTCACAGGCTGGCTGTACACAGTCGTATTTATACTTGCCAAAAATGTAGAATAGTCCACTATCGAGCAAAAGAAGGGCTGACATGACTGATATAAATACTCAGAAGTGGCTTCACGAGTAAAAATTAAAGTCGTAAATTACATAATACTCAATAACGGCACAAAGGAAGAAAGCGTTAGAAATTCGATGATGAGGTTAAAATTGTTATTGAGTGAGAAGAAAGGTAGTTGAGTGTCCATTTAATAAGTGTGAAGAGGATGAGAAAATGTTGGAGCTAGTTATATTGGCCACACAAAGCGCACACTTTCCAAACGCATCTCTAGTACTCGGTGAATTCAAGCCACGTAGCTCCACTAGAATCGTCTTTCACGATTATCTACAAGGTGAGAACAAACAATACAATCGGCGTGAGGTTTCGGCTTTTGTGTATGGCGGAGGCATTGGCAATTCGTCAATACAACGCCGAACTCTGTATACAGAAAAATTAGTCCAATCTCTTAGTCTACCATGGTCCTAACCTCTTCATTAATCATAAGAAAAACACAGTTTTTGTTCAGTGAAGAAATTTCTTTTCAGTGACTTCATTAATCGTTCCCCGTAAATTTTTTATTTACATTTTTGACGATTCACTGTTACCACTCTCATATGTTCCTTTTCTACGTTTTCTCACCGTCTTCACACTTGTTAAATTGACACTCAACTACCTTTCTTCTCAGTCAATAACAATTTTAACCTCATCATCGAATTTCTAATGCTCTCTTCCTTTGTGACGTTATTGAGTATTATGTAATTTACAACTTTTATTTTTACTTGTGAAATATTTACTTTAGAAATATTTAATATCATATAAGTCAAGACACTTTATAAAGTATGATTGTTGTTCAAGTCTTTGTAGCGTGATTTTGGGCCTCTTTAAACTGATAAGCAGTTTACAAAAACATACGTTGAGGATAAAATATTTGAGATTCTGAGAGGTTTTGCTTAACAACTTAAAAATTCCGCTTGAGTCATATAAAAGAAAAGGTGTTCAACAGGAAGTTACTCCTGTTTTCACTGATATCATTCTCAAGCTGTACAGTTTCATACATAGAGTAAATTTTCTTAGCAACAGAAGTAATATTTCCAAAGATGTGTCACTAAATTGTAAATATTTTTTTAGATAAAAGAATACGTAATGTAGAAAGCGTTAAATGGGTAGAAACTTAAATAAAACTAAATAAGTATGTTGAGTGACCTAATATAATTGACATGGTTGAGCAGGGCTCAACTAAAATTAGACGACAGTCCAGTTAACAAATGTGGTAATAAGGGGTAGACATTTAATAGGGAATGATGGAAGAAATAATGCAATGAAAACACGCAAAAATCAAAAATCACATATTTGGTGTTAAGATGGATCAGGTCCATTGTAGATTTAATGATTGAACAAACTTCTTCTTCTGTATGCAGAGTTCAGGTTTCAACGTGTGTATTGCCGCCATTACTTCTGAGGTTTGAAGAAGTTTGATTCGTACACTTTTAGAAAGATGCTCACGTATTCTTCAGATGACTTTGAAGTTACTTTGTGGGTTTGCTCGGTGTCTATATATATATATATATATATATATATATATATATATATAGTTTCAAACACAGGCGACAGAACGGATGGAGATGTGAAACCCAGACGCAATAGGAAAGGCAAGATACGCCTTCATCAACCTGAAACCAGTTTGGAAGCCCTCTACCCTCACTCAACTAGCATAAAAAACAAGATTCGGATTTTAAATAGTAATTTCATGTTAGTCAATTCCTCTATATGGGTCAGAAACTTGATAGGTGAATCACGAAAAGCATTTCCAACAGGCTTCTGACTGACTCGTTTCAATATACCACTTTGCACAGACGTGCACAAATTCCACTCGCCTCACAGCCCTCCTTCTACCACACTAAGAAAGAGAAGAAAGTAAAGAGAGATTCAAAAGAGAGATAATAAACAGAAGTGTGAGTGAGGTAAAAAGAATAGTAATATGGAAGAACAAAAGAATTTCCTTGGATATGATAAATCATAAAGAGTGAATGCATTTGTGACAGTTATTGACAACGGGGACTTTGAGCCATATCACAAGTTGTCTCCAGCCGTCATTGGTTCCTATCATCCCAAGGGCCCCATCCAGCGAGCCGGGCAGTCTACACCTCCCTTAACTAACTGTTACGGATTTCACTGACTGGTGAGTTCATGTTTTCGTTTGACCACTATTTTCCCCCTTTCCAACCTGATCCTATGGAATCCAACAGGCTATAGCAGACATTTATCAACAGCTGACCCCTTGTCTGGCTCCATATTGAATATCGAATGACCGGTCCGATGGAATTCGCAACAAGACAATCTGTCAACAAACAAACCAAGAACCTCTCATTCAAAAACTATACAGGAGAAAATGGAGATAAATTGGACAAATGCCACTGATGAGATCGTCGAATGACATCACGTGCTAGCCAGGCCATTGCTCGAGTGGAAACCAAATGAGGAGCGACGAGTGGGTCGTCAGTGCAAGGATGACGCGGAGGAGATAGTGTGTTGGGGAGGAAGAGATCAGAGATTATGGGCAATCGTGAGGTCAGCAGTCTGAAAAGAACATCAGAAAAGACAGAAAAGTGGAGATGTGTTGTTGACGCCCTATATTCCACTCAGAACCCGAGAGAATAATAACAATAATAATCCCCGTTTTAACAAAATCTTATATTCTACACTGAATGTATACGAACCTTCAAGTGTCTTTTCATGATTCGTAACATTGGTCATTCAATGAATATAAACATAAAAATGTACACACTTTCCTAGGTAAGTTATTCATTATAACATTACATTATTAAAAAATAAATACAACGAATAATTCAACTCAGACACTTACCGACAAATATATCTTCCAGGTTTCCTAACTGGTATAAAAGTATCCTCAACATCACCATTTATACTGCTACTTCCACTACTTCCACTGCCACACTCCACTCTTCCATTCTCTTGCAAACCACCATTTTGTTTTCCATTTTTCTGACCACCATTATTCACATTTCCATTCTCTTCTAATACACTGTAATGATTTCCATTCATGCAGATCTCTTTTACTTCTCCATTTTTATGCATGCCATTACTGTTGCCATTATTTTGTCCTCCATTCTTATGTTTACAGACCGTGAGTATTCCATTTTCAGATCCATTCGTTTTAGACGCATTAACTGATCCATTTTTCTGTTCACCAGCTTGATGAAGAAGACCATTCTCTTCTTGACGAATTTTGTATCGATTGATCTCCTTCTTCAAATAACCATTTTTATGATGACTAAAAATTGACATGATTATAAGCTGTACACAGATGATGAGGTTGACTGTTTCTGAATTAAGTAGTATGAAAATCAGTGATAATAGAGTGTGTGTGTGTGCTTGCGTTCGCTCGTGGTTATTCCTACTACTTATATACTCTTAGTAGTACCAATAATACAGTAATATTCATGAAACAATAGTATGTCCTTTTTAATAGTAGTAGTATTCGGCATCCCCTGCCCCCGCCGATCCTATTATAATTACTAATCATGCATGCAATACAATACACGTAATAATCCTCGATTTCTTATTGGTTACTTAGTAAACATTTCTTCGAGGGAGTGGGTGGGTGGGTGTTGGCGATTGTTTACATGTTTTCTTATAAACTATTGGAATATATATATATATTTTTTTTTTTTTTTAACGTGAAAGACCTCTTACTATTCATGCATTGACATAATTGATATTGAAGGAATGTAGAGGTGTTTGTATTACTATGCACACATGCACACTTGCAAATGTGTCCACGAAATATGTGTACTGAAAATTAAGAAAATTAAATTCAGGAAATAATTAAATCTCTTCAAAGATCGATCTACAGGAAACCAACAAATTTCCATAATTGGGTGTCCCTTTGGAAAGAAAGAGAAATTTGACAACATTCCTTATCCTCAAGAATAAGAAGGATATGTTCCAGTGATACAATCAATGGGGAACTGGGGCGACTAAGACAAGTCCTCATAGAGAATGGATATCCTGCAAGATTTATCGAGAAAAACATGAAGTTAAGGGAAAAGCCTGAAAGAATCCAGACGGTGCTTTTTATGAGCATCAAATTTAAAGGTGATACCGCAACTAAGATCCTGAAGAATCGCTTATGCAGATCACTGAGGAAAGCCTTCTTTATGGCTTGGCTACAGATCAGTTTCTACAACCAACATATGGTCAATGGATGTGTGAAGGATAAACTGCCGCTTTGGACGGGCCACTTCATTTATAAATTCACCTGCTCGTATGTGGAGCTAGTTATATTGGCCGCTCACACAAACCACACACTTTCCAAACGCATCTCTGAACATTATCCGGCATAGTTGGTTAGCAAAAGGACAATGCAAGACACTTAACAGCTCAATTCTCGAGCATTTGGTGAAATCAAGCCACGTAGCTCCACCAGAGTCGTCTTTCATGATCATCTACAAAGTGAAGCCAAATGGTACAAACGGTGTCAGGTTTCGGCTTTTGTGTATAGCGGAGGCGCTGGCAATTCATCAATACAACCCTGAACTCTGTATACAGAAAAAGTTTGTCCAGTCTCTTATTCTACCTTGGTCTTAACCTCTTCAATAATCGTTCCTTGTAAATAAAAAGAAATTTTGATTTTTTCTTTTCATTTTTAATTTTACTTTCAGTTTGCTTTTGCTTTAATAATTAATTCACTATTATCACTCTCATATACTCCTTTTGTATATTTTCACACCCTCTTCACACTTGTTCACACTTGGACACTCAAATACCTTTATTCTCACTCAGTAGCAATTTTAACTTTATCAAATTTCTATCTTTGTGCCGTTGAGTACCACGTAATTTTCAACTTCTAATTTCCACTTCTAAAGCCACTTCTGAGTAATTATATCAATTATTTACCCCTTATTACTCAATAATAGACCACTATATATTTTTGTAAGTATAAATATGACTGTACGGAGGCCTCTGAAGATGATTTCGTCGTCGATAAAGAAAATTTTCTTCGCTGAATCTGTCTTCTATTTTCTTCATGACTCAATGGGTATTTTCGGTGAAGGATGACAATGGAAAGTCAATCACCAAAGAAGTGGAGCAAAGGAAACACTGGACTGAACACTTCAAAAGACTCCTAAATCGACCACCACCTACAACGTGCCCGACAATACCAACAAAGGAGACAGAGCTACCAGTGAACACCAATCCCCCGACGAAATCAGAAGTCCTGAAGGCAATCAAGATGCTAAAAGCCGAAAAACTTCGACCGGAACAGGCTGGATTCAGGAGAAATAAGTCATGCATTGATCAGATCGCCGCATTACGGATCATCATTGAACAAAGCCTGGAATGGCAGTCACCTCTCTATCTCAACTTCATCGACTTTGAAAAGGCCTTCAACAGCGTCGATCGAGAGGTGCTTTGTCAACTACTTCGCTACTACCAAGTGGTGCCACCGACAATTATACATCTCATCCAACAGCTGTATGACAATGCTGCATGCCAAGTAATCCACAACAGGAAACTTACGGAATCCTTCGAAGTGAGGACAGGAGTAAGATAAGGCTGCCTACTATCGCCAATGATTTTCCTGATTGCAGTAGATTGGATAATGCGACAGACAGCGAGATGGGCAATGAGGAAACAGGCATAAAATGGACTCACACAAAAAACTCGGAGGATCTGGACTTCACCAATGATATATGTCTGATTTCCCACAAACTGGAAGACATGCAAGCGAAAAGCAACGAGTTAGCAGAAGAAGCATCAAAGATAGGACTTCAGGTGAACATAGATAAAACAGAGGTGATGAAGATTCCTGGCCAACACCAACAGCAACAACATCAGACAATAATCAGCATAAATGGGAGGAACCTGAAAGAAACAACCTCCTTTCCCTACCTACCTGGTAAGCATCGTTTCAACTACAGGCGGACAGAATTGACGAGGATATCAAAGCAAGAATCGGAAAAGCAAGACAAGCTTTCACTACTCTCAAGTCTGTGTGGAGGTCAACAGCACTCAGCATCATCAATAAGATCCGGATTTTCAACTCCAATGTGAAGTCAGTGCTACTTACTAAACGGATCAGAGACCTGGCGTGTCATAAAGACCATCTCAAACAAACTACAGACCTTCATTAAAAGTTGTCTTCGCTCAATCCTCCTCAAGATCAGATGTCTGGCCAGAAAAGATCAACAACGGAGATCTCTGGCAATGAGCAAACCAACCAGGAACCGATTGTGAAACAAATAGGCAGGAAGAAATGGAGATGGATTGTTCATACTTTGAGGAAACAATCAAGTGACATCACCAGACAAGCCATTGCTCGAGTGGAACCCGCCGAAAGGGAAGCGGCGATTTGGTCGTCAGTGCGAGGGTGACTTGGAGGAGGTCGTGTGATGAGGAGATGAAAGCGTGTGGGCAGACTTGGAGCCAGGTGAAGACTCTAGCAGAGAACCGAACGCAATGGAGACGTATGGCTGAAGCCCTATGTTCCTCTAAGAATTAAAGGAAACAATAATAATAATAATTTGAATTTGTAGATTTTTTTTCAAAAGACTTTTGTTTTGAAGATGAAACAGTATAGAGAGAGAGATTTTAAATCTCTCAATATGGCCAGATGTTGCTATCTGGTATGTATGTGTGTGTGTGCGTGTTCAGAATACTACTGTCGTACTGTCATCCGTGAAATGGAATGTGGACAAAAGATAATTGACATCAACCGATAGAAAGGCAGAAATTGTTGTCTACAATTATTGCCAATTATTATTATGTGTGTACTTTTAATGATTTAAGATGTTGTTTATTTTCAATCTTTGGTGTGTGTGTGTGTGCAAATAAATTTCAGGTTTGAGCTAGGGGAGTGATATCAGTTAAAGAAGTATACGGGTCAGAGACTTGACGGATGCATCAAGAAATCCATTCTAAACAGGCTACGACAGAATTTTATCAACAGTTGCTCACTTCATTGGCTTTATATTCAAGATCGAAGGGCCAGCCGGGCGAACAGGAAGAATTAGCAACAAGACACTCTGACTGGGAACAAACCAACAAGGGAGAGCTGGTTGTTCAGCGAATATGTAGGAGAAAATAGAGATAGATTAAGCATATGCCATTGAGGAGGCCGTCGAGTGACATCGCGCACAATGCAGGCCACTGCTCGGTTGAAATCCCATTGGGAGGAGACGAGTGGGTCCTCAATGCGACGGTTGTGTGGAGAAGATCGTGTTGATGAACAATTGTGTTGTCAGCCAGTTGAATAGAACAGTAGAAAATAGAACAAAGTGAAGATGCATTGTTGAAGCCGTATGTTCCACTCGGAAACCAAGGGATCAATAATAAGAATAATAATTTATGTTGCATCCCCACTTAACTGGTCGACAACATGTCATAGGAATGTATCATGAAAATTGTCTATTCACAAAAACCCACTCAACATCATTTTACCTAGTGAATCAGTGAATCAATATGAATATATTTGAGACTTACTAGTCTAGTGCTGTGATCTCTAATGACATCGTCGATCCACGTATATCGCAACTAATTAGTTGAAAATGACTTCTCTTACATCGAATTTCAGCTTAATAAATGTGCAATAGAAGCTATTTATGCATTTTGAACAAAGGTTACCAGATGAAAGCTTACGTTTTAATTATATTCAACAAATGCAGTGGTAGTGTAACAACAGAAGACAAGGGCTGGGCAACAAATTGTTTATTGAGAAAATTAAAAACTATTTATAGATTTTTAAGTACATTATTGTCAGCGGAGAAGCAACGTCTTCTGACTGGTTGTTTTCTTGCTCAAGGTTATTCTATTATCTCTTTGTGGTCGTTTCTCAGAAAATCAAGCCATGTATCTGCGAATTGTATTTGCACACGTTAACTCCGCTGTGATTGGTTGGTGATTTTCTCAAGGTTAAGCTTTGTTATTATTTTTCACGTGACCCTGATTTGGGAAGTGAACATTGACGTAAACTGTTGTCTACAATGTTGGCTTGTTCGCAGCCAGCTCTCATCACAACAGTACTGGAGAAAGACTTCATTCTCCACCAAATATCATCAGATTCCGATGATTATTCATACCTTACTGAGTTATTTGCATCACTCCATCGGAAACTTCTTTGCCCTGACTTGTGCATTATTCAGGTGTTAGTTTGCAGGGATTAGATTTGATTTCATTAACCAACATCGTTTGGAGGACCACTGGGAAACCAGTACTGGTAGTACTGGTCAGCTGTTTCATCAGTGTAGTCAGTGACTCTTTATCAGCACGCACCCATTAGGTTTCAAACCCAGGACCTTCAGTTTACAAGGCTAGCGAGCTCGTATACCAATCAGGTAATGGAACCTGACTCGTCAATAATCAGCCCATAAATTCCAATTTCTACCAATTCATGATTTTAGCACAACTGGTACCAGCCAATGTCATCGGTGGAGAGCATTTGTCCTCACTCCCTACAGGATGGATCCTA